GACCATTAAGAGACAATTCCCCACTGATCTCTCCCTCTATATGTCTCTCTTTTTCGGATCACTTTGATGCCAACTTTTTTGAAAAACGATCATTTTAGTGTCAATGCTGACGTGGCTCGCCGGAAATCCGATGTGGCGCTGACACAGCTCGCCGGAGAGGTCCAGTCAGCGTTAAAAATCAAAAACGACGCCGTTTAGGCCGCTGACGTGTACTTTTTTTAAAAAAATTAAATTATATTTATTTAAAAAAAAAAAAGGATAGCGGCGAGGAGCCCTCTGCTGCTGCTGCGCTAACCCACCACCACCAAGAAGGGCCGGCGGTGGTGGGTGCGATGTCGGCGAGGGACGCCGGCCCCACAGTCGGGGCTCGGCGACCCTCGCCTCGCCTGGGCCGAGGGCCGGATCCCGGCGAGGCGAGACCTCGCCGTCTCTGGGTCGCGACGACGAGGTCTCGCCTCGCCGGATCCGGCCCCTTGCCGGGCGAGGCGAGGGTCGCGAGCCCGGCCGGGGGCCGGCCCTCGCCGACCACCTGCGCCCACCATCGCCGACCCTTCCCGGCGGTGGTGGGTTGGCGGCGGCAGCGCGAGGGCTCCCCGCGCCGGCAACCTTTTTTTTTTTTTTTTTTAATTATTATTATTTTTCTAAAAATTAAAAAATTCGAAAAAAAGCCACATAATTTTCACGTGTACAAGTAAGACCATTTTTTAAAAATATAAATGCCAAGTCAGCTTTTTAGCCGGAGTCACTAAAGTGATCTATTTTCCTCCGAATTGGTACCAAAGTGATCCGAAAAAAAGTTATGGCACCAAAGTAATCGCCGTACACAAGTTATGGCACTTACAGTGTACTTTTGCCGAAAATTAATTGTCCCGATCAACCTCTAGGTCTTACAATGATTGACATCTAGCAATATATCATGGCTACCCAGACAGTGTAAATGCTTTAAGAACGTAATGAAACTGTCAGCTTTGGCTATAGTGTAATTCAATCATTCTGTCTTACTATGTCCCGATCGAACAAAGATTGTGGAGTATTTGTCAAGCCACCAATTCGATCATATGCATAAACCTAATTGACATATATATGAATAGTTCATTCTCAGTTACAACCCGACCGAGAATTTCAATGTAGTGTCATGATTAAATAGCATAGGACATCATTATCGTACCTTGCATGTATCAAGGAGACTGTTTCCATTTTAATGAACTATGACCATCAAGTATAGAGACGGATCAACGAATCGGCAATATGTGCACCTGTGAACCATAGCCATCCAACACACAAGTCAATATTGTGCCTCAGGTCTAAGGATTATTTACACAAGACCAAAGCATGAACGATTAGACATTGACCACGCTAAAAGCTTCCATGTTGCTAATTGTTCTATGCATGTCACGTTCAGTGAATTTGTCCAGTAGAAGCACCCGTGTTCTAACTTAGGCATCACAATACCCAATGACTTGTGACTCATCATTTCCTTAAGTATCCAATACTTAATGGTGAAGCTAAGAACACACCAGTCTCTACAAGATCATTAATATCCACTCAATGATCCATCGATCGGAAACAATTTAAAAATTCAGTCTAACTGTGAACCTGTCACACATATTCTTAACGTCTCAAGAATAGATCTAGTCACCACTGATCTTATGGAATCATTCATATATTTAAATAATTAGACAAATGAATGAATACGTCCTTGCCATTAAATAAATAATGAAATTGATAGTACAACTTAAATCCCTAACATGGTAACTTTAGGGCATATATCTAACAAATCGTTTGTTAATGGCAGCATTAATCCCCTATCGGTCCGTAAAAATGTTTTCTATACTCTCTCTCTCTCAATTTAAGTAACAGTGTGTAAACGAGAGAGACAGATAGAGGGAGAGATCAGTGGGGAAATGTCTGTTAATGACCGCATTAATCCCTTGTCGGTCCACAGAAATGTTTTTTGTACTCTCTCTCGTCCTATACGAGCACACACACCTATATAATTATCTAGTTTAACCCATGCAATGATGTTTCGTGTTCTAGACTAGCAAATTATATATATTTTTGCCAGATTTGCCTACGACAAGCAAAGCGGCGTAGACAAGAGAAACAATCTTGAACTAGCCCAAACGTACACATGATAAGAGACCATTTTGCAATGGTTTGAAGGAGAATCTTCCAACATTGCTCCATATTTTATAGGACAAATAATTGTGTCTGCCTGCCTCTTGAAATCTTAGGGGCAGAGAGTGTTGATTTATGGTTTTGAGTTTAGGGTATGCCTTTGGGATGACTAGTTTGTTGATCCCATTTGGTAAAATTTCTTAAACTCATAGATTAGAATTTCTCGTGAGTCATTGGTCAGACCTTGAACAGAAAGACTAAATGAAAAACAAAATCAAAATTCAATAGCTTTGGTGAAAAAATTAGAAATACCATGATCTACTACAAAAGTTATAGGAACATTAGGTGATCGTCAACGTGATTTACCCATCTACGCTTGATCTTTCACGTGCAGTTGAGAGAATGTATACCTAATTCAGGTATACATTGTAAATGCTGTGAAGTGGATTCTTCTGATTTTGTTGGGGACGATAGGCGTTGGGCTATGTTTCAGAGGATGCAATTTATGTAGACAGCCTCGCCTAGACAAGGTGAGGGCGGGCGAGGGCCTCTGCGCCCTCGCCAGGGAAAAAAAAAGAGAGGGAAGAAAAATGAAAAGAAGAAAAAGAAAAAAAAAACAAAAAAAAGTCATAAAAAACTCAGAAAAATAAAATAAAAAATTTAAAAAATTATCAATGTCAACGGCAACCATCCTAACCAACATGCCACGTAGGACATCCGATGTCTATGTCAACAAATTCTGACCAAAATTGGTCGGATGAACTACATTAGTAAATCGTCAAAAGATTTAGAACTCAATTGATACAATTGAAAGGTTTATAACTGAATTGGTATAACTGCAATAAGTTTATGACTTCTGTGGTGCTTTTTCCATCACATGGGTCATTTGATAAGTCTCGATTTCGATATTGATGTTCATGTTTAGATCATGAAATTTCGTATCTTAAGAACTTCTTCTAAAACGAAAGAATAAATTGTGACAAACTTGGCTAAGCTCAATCAGGCTATATTAAATGCATGGGGTAGAGTCAGGGCCAAAATTCTCTTTTTCATTGAGCCTGAGCTTGCAAATTGAGCCAAGACAAGCAGGTTCAAACTATCGAGCTAGACCTGAAGGTTCTTCAAAAGGCCTGGTCCATTTTCACTTCTTGATGGCCCTTAAATATGTATGGTGTTCAGTGAGTATCTTGAGGAAATAACCTTGTATATAATAGTGTTTGTTGGGCAAGGATTGGCATAGATAAAAAAAATTAATAGGGAAAATTCCAAATAAGGTACACCCACGACAAATTTGCGTCAAATTAATTTTTTGACCATAAAAAATCTTAAATTGGTACATTTGTGACAAATTTACCAAAAACTAATTTTTTGACCACCAAAAATCCTAAACTGGTACACTTGTGACAGATTCACCCTAAACTAATTTTTTGATCACCAAAAATCCTAAACTGGTACATTTGTGATAAATTTACCCTTCGTTAAATTGTATTAATATCACGAAAAATCACAAAATGGTATACATTTAACAGACATAGGGTAAAACCTCAAATCGATATACTCGTCAACTGCCACATTTCATCCAACGCAGAAATTTTGATGGTAAAATTTAACGGAAACTAATATAGGGTGAAATTGTCATAGGTGTACCAGTTTAAGGTTTTTCGAGGTCAAAAAATTAGTTTGGGGTAAATTTATTACGGGCATACCAATTTGGAGTTTTTCGTGGTATTAACCCAAGAAAGAATTGGAGTGTATATCTTAATTTTCATTTCTGAATCATGCAATCGAAATTTGCTTCTTCTTCTTCTTCCTATCGAGTGGGTTCGAAACTTTTCTTGCATCGAAATTAGAAGTCGCTCGTCTCTCCAATATTTCTAAAGATTAATGTACCGCTTGTTAATGCCGATGGATATGAAATTAACGTGTGCACAGATCAAGCGCACGGCCACATTCGATTTTTCGCCTTGTGAAGTGCAGAACGGTCTCCACCTTTTCGGACTGGCTTTCGACCCGAGCGACGGCGCTTGATCCATTACGTTAGGGGATATTTTACGAACTTGGATTATTTTTCTTTTTGGTGGAGTTTCATGTCAAAAAAAATATTTAAAAAAAAGGAACTTATAACTTAAATTAAAAACGCACTTGTCTAACTATAAATATCAAAGAGCTAAGTATCCATTTCAATTCGGTGAAGTCACCCAACTGACTGGTCGATTTCACTGTCCAAATGTCGATCCATAGGGAATGTCCCTATTTGTTTCGCCAAAAATTAATGATTTAAAATACATTTGCTTAAAAATATCGATTGTATCACTTAAAATAATTAGTAAAAAAAAATATTTTCAATATTATCAATAATTGATGTTAATATATTTTCTTGAACGATAAAAATATTTTTCGTTCATTTACTTTTGTAAGAGATTTAAGTGATCATTTTTAGAAAAAAACTTTTCCAAATAATTCATTTTCCTCGAAAACGAACATATCTCTTGAAACTTCCTCAAAACTGCAAGAACAAAGTTACATCATCAGTTCATGAAAACAACATGAAGTTGAATGCAAACTGCACTTGGATGCTTCATCCGTGATGGTAAAAGATTAATCTCGTGCACGGATGCATCCCTCTCTACACAAATCGGCCCTGACAACCCGCCGAAGCCGATTTTGCCACAACGGGTGACAAGAAGATCGTTTCGGACGACAGAGTCGAGCCTAAAAAGTATTCGTATGATGGAATCCCATGTCGCTTTTTTCGCACGATCGAGTCATCAGAAGCAAGCCAAACTGTCAACAACGTGCATAAATTGAGTTGTCAAATGAATCATAATCCCCTACTATGCTACAAGATCAATCAACGGTCCGATAAGTAAGTCGGCCTAATATAAGCAGATGATCGCGAATGATATACATCACAACAAAGGATGCAATCATACAACAAAATCGGCCTAATCCTGCAGTAGCAACTTTTGCGGGGCCGCTAATAGTTTTGGGCAACGGAACAGGGAAAAAGTAATTGATTGCGAAAAAGTATCAACGACTATGGCAACTGCTTCGAAAAATTCATTCCCCAATCTAACATATTGCTAATGAAGAAATTGGCAGGTGGACTAATCAATTGTCGACTGACGATCGTAAGAGTTGGTGTGAGTGCTGTAATGGGTTAGCGCCAAGAACTCCTGAAGAAGCACCACCCAGGCCGATGTTAAATGAGAGAGCAAAGATCTGGGTATTTGAGTCCGGGATTTCCTAAGTTGTGCGAGGACCGCAGGCTCAATTTTCACCTGGAAATGGAGCAAAAACCGCATAGTGTTAGGAAAATATCAGGCAACTATTGTCAGTCCATCTGTGTTCATGCATATGGGAATAATTGTAGGACACTTGTTTTGCATACAAGAGGTGTTCACTTGTCTATGGAAAATCTATCTAAAAGAATGTAATGTGATAATGAAATCATACATTTGTTTCCACGTGAATTCTTTTGCCTGAATCATCTTACTGATGGTCTGCAGCTGATATTCTTCGAGTATTGTATGAACGGCATTCGCTGCACTTCAGCCCAAAAATGTGAAATGGAACTTTGCCCGTTTTGTTGCAGTCATTGCAAAGAATTGAAACCTGTTAAAATTCCATTAAAGTGAGGATGACATTCCCTTTAAATGCACTTGTCACAATCAAGAAAGCAAGATTCGGTTGACATGCTGGAAACAATGGCAACATTCATTATGTCTGGGCTTCAGAGCAGATCAGGGATCATAGTGAGGTCGATTTCAAAAGGTCGTAACAAATCGTAGTACTGTACACTCGTCATCCCAGCGGCTACTCACTCATTTGAATGATAACTACGCTACATTTCTCGAACGACATTCAGATTAATATATCAGTTGAATGAGAAAAACATAAACTAACCAAATACTCTTTCTGCTGAATAGTATCCAAAGAAAATGATATATGTGTTAGTTCTACAATAGTAGTGCTTTATATAAAGGAGATTTGCACTCTATCCTAATGGCAATATCATCCCTCGTAGCTAATGTAGAGCCTGGCCTATTATTCACCATATTAAAGGAGAGACAAGTTATCATGAACTTCTGTTTTTCTTTCAAAGCGTTATTATGCTCTAAAGCGTAAAATATAACACCAACTTCAATTGATTTTTAATTAGAAACACTAAATAACTTTTCCAGCAGAGCTCACAAAGGCAAACCGTTCTTCAAAAGTTCACAAGTAATTACTCAACAAATCATTACAAAAAACTTGGGCCGCAAAACACAAGATGTTTGTGAAAAGAAACGGAGCGATATTGGAAGATAAATTACACACCTCATACTGATATTCTTCAGGCATGACTGTTGCCGCGATCTAAACAAGAAAGAAAGATGATTGATATGAAAGGCTATCTTTTCCAAATATTAAAACTGAAAAGTCCAGTACAGAAAGAATGAAATAGAAAAAAGACAAGCATGGTATTGCATTTTGATGAGCGATACTCATTATTTTTTAAACATTTTGCAATCGGCTCCCAGCCTCCATTTATTACTGGAGCATGTTAAGGGTCCGTCTCTTAAAATAGAGATTGAGGGAAAGGTGAGTGTTGCCATTACTCTTTTGGAAGTTAGAACTCTTATGAAGAGGGCCTAGATCTAATAAAAGTAAAGAAAGGCATGCAGATTTGCAGAGTTAATCCAAGTAAAATTAGAAGACAAAAGGCCTATTTGCATCTAATTTTGTAAAAGGGTGGTGCCCCTTTTGGTACCCTTATACTTAATTTCTCTTTAACACTGGAAAAAAAAGGCTCAAACGTGCTCAATCAAGGCCTATTTGGCACTAAAACCTATTATTACCAGTGGCATAGGCAATAAACTAGTTAAGTATCATAACATCCGTTAAGTCTCCCAGCTGAACTGGTAAATTGGTAAAGCTGATCAATCTTTATCACTTCACACATGAATGGCCTCCTTTGACACCAAAACCTAATTTTACCAGTGGCACAGACAATAAACTAGCTTAGTTAGTATCATAACAACCGTCTCACGGCTTAACTTGTATGTTGGTAAAGCTGATCAGTCTTTATCACCTCACATATGACAGTAAAAACAAGACCATTCTCCAGCCATTCATTACCATGCACAATGACAGTCAAGAAAAATTTGATAGAAACAAAAATATCAATAATTATTTTATTCGTTAATCACAGGTTTTTCCTTTCTCTCTCCGTAGAACTATTAATTTTCCGTTCTTATTCTTAAATTTCAGTATAAAAGTTAGCTATTCTTGAACGACATGCTCGAGAGTTTCCATCTTGGCTAGACTGAAACTTCAATCCATAATCCTTTTGTTCCCTCAATTACACATCTGAACCTCGGGATGTAAGCTGATTCAGCACATCCAACTTGAATTTCTAAAGCAATTGTGACAATATCAAGTTAAAAGCTTACTACCTCGGAATCCAGCATCCTCCAAACTTCAGACATTGTTCGAGCTGTCTTTGAGCATATGGGACAACGATACCTGCGTGACCAGAATGTAGGTTAACAATGCAACCAATGACTTTTTATCTGAAATAAATAAAATGCACAACTATCTATGAGGGAAAAGGTTTAACTGATTTTGGTCTGTCATTTCTTGGAAACAGTCCATATGAATTGTGTGTCCGCAATTCAAGATCGTTGTTCCTTTGATTGAATCAAATAGATACTGCAAAATGAATGGAAAGTTGTTAGAAAGACCTTTCCAACCTTCATTATTGCCAATTTTGGAATATGTATCCCACCAACCTCATAGCATACAGGGCAATAGCTCTTCATTGAATTCTCCACGCATACATGATTATTGCGTAACGACATCATATAGCAAGATCCTGTGCTTTTTAGAGAAATTTGTTAAGGCTATGCACATAGGACAACATGCTACTCTGACAGTGTACAATAGAAGATGCTACCAATTACACAGCCTCCACAAGGGTTGCCATACCATTCAACTAGTATATAGAGAATAAGCATCTCCTCAAGAAATAGGAGCAAGAAAGAAGAAACTAACATCTAGAAGATGCAGAGCAAGACAACCAGTGATATGGACCTTCAAGAAGCAGATGGCTTCATTTGACAGTAATAATAAAAGCATACTTCCACGTTTCAATAGTAGAGTGATGATGCACCATGCACACTTCATATTTTTGAAACAAATAAGAATATGCACCATGCACACAATTATATTTTTGAAACAAATAAGAATATGGCTCTTTTTCAATCTACCTAATTCTATGATTCTGATCTGTTTCCTCCATTTGCAAGAGTGATAACAGAATAACAAGTCTCCATCACAAATTTTGAGAAACAAGAAACAGAAATTAACTAAAAGTTTCTTTTCCCCAATTTTAAGAGATCGCTCGAAAAAAATCGATGCATTCAGTTATGAACTTCTCCTGCTACATAAGCCTACCGACAGTCCAACCTTGCACTGATAAATAACTTCTATTTTCTTGGTGTTAATATAGACTAATGCTCTTACGCAACCACTAAATGCAGAATGCTCTTTTTAGAGCTTGCAATAGTTTTCTGCAAGTTGATATTAAGTATTTTGATATTGCAATTCATCTCTTCTATATTTCAGATGTCAAAGTCAGTCCTATTGGTTAAATTGTTGTGGAAAAGGATGTACAAATGCTGTTGCAGTGTGGTTCGTGAACCCAATATTTGCCATCGTAGCTATGACAGTAGTAGAAGATTCCTTGCCTCTGAATCCCCCCTGCGATAGAAAATGTCTGAACCAAAAAAGACCCCCACTTCTCCTCTCTATCCTTCCTTGGATGAGAATGAAAATTGTAAGTGATCAGTATGGCACACGCAACTTTAAGATGTCGTCTCTTAGATGTATAGACAAAATCGTGCATTAGCTGCAATAATACGATGGGAAGTACCCAACTAACATTCTCCCTCTCAAGATACAATGTTGATCACACTGGCTTTGAGCAAGTACCTTTGAAGTCATCACAACTCTTGTACCTAAGTTGATATCAAATCCCAGATCTAGAGACCTCTAAAAAGCCACCTCGATTACCATCATCCTTAGAGAGCGGCTTTGACTTAAGATTGTTCAGAAGTTAAATGCAACTGAAAGAATACTTAAATCTCTATTAACATTGTTGCCTTGTAGGTTCCGAGCTACCCTTTTAAAACTCTACAAATTATTCTTTCCAGGCAAGTAGGGGATTGGAGAAGATAGGGACTCCAACCCATTGTACAGAAAAGGTTCAAACATAAGAAGAAGAGCTTTTCCAGAGTCTTTTTAATTTCAAAAATATATTTGGTTACCCATTGAACCCCCAGACGAAAATTTCCGAAATCCAACACAATAGATCTTACAAGAAATAAATTTCACATCAAAAGTCCTGCGTGCAAAACCAGCTTCTGGTCCTGTTAACCACCCTATGGGCAAAACTCATACATACAAGTCAGGTTTCCTCTCGTATCTACCCATCTCACCACGCATTTTACATTTTCTAAAGAGAAAATTCAACTATAAGACCGAGCACTCCAGGACTCCAGGTGGGTATATGTATACCAACTGCCAGTTCATAGCCTTAATTTGACTCTGCTTCATCAGACTTCTTCCGAGTTGTCCTTAAAAATCGAAATCGTTTATTCCAAGATACAGCAAACTGAGAAGATATTAAAAGGCAGTGGCTTCGATGGTAGATCAATGCGTTATTGTTTCAAAAGAGGTTCCTACTGAGATCCACTCTGAAGCTTTTAGCTCCAATGTAAAGCAAGTTCGTCAAATCCCCTCTCTCATAAATTCAAGTAAGAATATACTATCACCTAGGCAATGGTCACTGCATATCCATCTAATGATTTCAAGAACATGTGCATGCCTAATTAAAGTATGAAATCATGCACTTATATAACTCGACAATACCCAAACTAGAACACAAATTCCAAATAACTCAGAAATTAAAGCGGTCCAAGCTTTCATAACTTTGGGAGGAGATGAAAACTCTCTAAAGAGATGACTATAATCAACATGTGTAAAAACGAGAGAGAGATTCTTTCTTGCAACAAAAAAGCACATGCAGCAATGGATTTACTAAAAGAGAAAGCCATACCGCACTTTGGACAGTGGAAGAAATTTTCCCTACCCCCAACTCTGAAAGACAAGGGCAAAATTAAATTATGTTAATTCATATGGCAGAAACAGTTAACTTCCAAAGAACGGGAAGAACATTCCAAACATCAATTAGCTCACCTACAAATTCCACATTCCTCACAATGAAATTGCATCTTTGTGGTCTGCAAATATAAACATAAATACACCGTTAGATCAGCTATGCTTTGAATTCATGTAAAATCAAAATGAAAGGCTACACCTTAAGTTATTATAAATGAGAATAAACGAATCCGTCTTACGTTGTCATCATAAAACTTGCAAATTCCACAGAAATATTCTCCCATGTTGACACCGCATTTCGAACAAACTTGAGCAGCCTAACAAAGAACACGTAAATTCTCGAACACTTCAGAAACGAAACGACAAGAACCATGCAAAATCCTCAAGGAGGCCCGCCATGACATACCTCTTGCTCCGTGTTGCAAACAGAACAGATGACCTGAAACACGAAAAGACCTTCAGCACCACACCTCAAAATCCAGAGCAAGCAGAGCGCACATCCCAAAAACCGGCACAGAGCAAAGCAAACGGGACCAACCTGCTTCACGTCATGCCGCACCAGCTCATGATGATCTTTCGGGTTGCTCAGCAAGTTCTAGTCGAGACGAATAAACCGGAGAAGATCAAGAAACCCCATCCAAACACGACGACGACAGTAGCAAAACACAATGCAGGCGCGACAAGGAGAGGCGGAGGGAAGTCGTACCGTGAACTCGTTGTGGCAGTGGCGACACGCGAAGACCCGATCGCAGCACGGAGCTCGGATCTTGCAACGCCTCCGGTAGTGCTCGCACCTGCAAGAATCACGAAACAAGAAACGAATGAAACACCCAGATGAAAAAAAGGGAAAAGGGAACGCCGGTGGAGGCGATTCGAACGTGGAAACGGAGATGGTGGCGACAAACCCATGATCGAATTTGGCAAAGTCTCGATCTTTCGCCTGTATCACAGGCTCTTCTTCTACTTCATCTTCTACTTCTTCCATGGATGCGTCCGTGCGTGCTGTTTCTCTTTCTAGGGCGTGCGAGAGAAAACCAGGCACTTGCTTCTTGTTTCACGCGAACTTGTCTTTTAATGTGTGCTAAACTCCAAAATCCAATAAGGTGGGCTATACTATATATCGAAGCATCGTGCAGCTTTCATATGCTTGAATTAATTTCACTATGCATTATAATTTCAAAAGCTTAGTCAATTGCGTTTAGTTCAGCATTTTGAAAGTTTTAAAGCCCATTTGAGGTGTTTTAAAGTGCTAATTTCCAAAATCCAATGAGGTGGGCTATACTATATCGAAGCACCGTGAAGCTTTCATATGCTTGAATTAATTTCGCTATGCATTATAATTTCAAAAGCTTAGTCAATTGTAATTGGTTCAGCATTTTGAAAGCCCCAGAGCCTCTTGGGAAAATTTGAGGTATTTGGCAACCATTCCCAATGGGCTTTTAAGCCAAATGCTAGCATTCGAAAGGCTGAAACTTGAGCTTTCAGCATCTTCGTAATGCTGAAACAAGGATTAAATTATTTTTTTTCTTCCAAAATTACTCTCACCAATTTTTTTGTTTTCTGATTTTGCCCCCCGTTAATATTATTGTTCATCTTTTTTGCGCGAGGGCGACCGGCGAGGTTGCGCGACCCAGGCGACCATCGCTTGGGGTCTCGCAACATAAGGCCTCGTTGCCAAGGGTAGCGCAACCCAGGCGATGGCCGGCAGAGGTCACGTGACCCTAAGTGGCCCTCGCTTGGGTTGCGTCGAGGGTTGCCCAGGGTTGTGCAACCTCGGCTGACGGCGCCAGATCTGACTCGCCAGAGCTAGCGAAAAGTTTGATTTCTTTTCAATGAATAGGGTTAATATGACGAAAAATTCCAAACTGGTACACCTATGATAAATTTACCTTGAACTATTTTTTTTACCACAAAAAATCCCAAACTGGTACACCTATAATAATTTTACCCCGAACTAATTTTTTGACTACCAAAAACCTCAAAACCTATATACTTGTGACAAATTTACCTTATGTTAGTTTTCGTTAAATTTTACTGTTAAATTGTTAAGTTTGATAACACTTGGTAGTCGACGGATATACCAGTTTGGGGTTTTATCCCTCTATTTGTCACAAGTTTATCAATTTGTGATTTTTTGTGATAGTAATTCAATTTAACAGACACTAACAGAGGGTAAATTTGTCACAAATGTACCAGTTTGGAGTTTTTAGTGGTCAAAAAATTAGTTGGGGGTAAAATTGTCATAGGTATATCAGTTTGGAGTTTTTGGTGGTCAAAAAATTAATTTGAGATAAAATTGTCATAAGTGTACCAATGTGAGGTTTTTTATGATCAAAAAAATAGTTTGGGATAAATTTATCACAAATGTACTAGTTTGAGATTTTTAGTGGTCAAAAAATTAGTTCGGGGTAAAATTGTCATAGGTATATCAGTTTGGAGTTTTTCGTGATATTAACCCTAATGAATAAGAAAAAAATTGCAGCTAAAGCCCTTTGCAAATTTTTTTTTGCCAAATACTACTTAAGTTACTTTACAAAGGATTTTTTATCAAATGCAATTTGTATTTCCCCAAAGCCTTTTAGGCTAAAAGGCTTTGCATTTCCCCGCGTCTTATTTCCAAAGCCGAACCAAAGGCATTATTAATCCCCTCGACTATGCTTTTCTTTTTGTTGTTCTTTTTTATTTGGGCAGTCTCAATAAATTTATAAAGAAAAAATACCATAAAAGGCCTCAAACTATACCAATCTTGTCAACAATATCCCATAATTTTTCTTTCTGCAAGAAAAACCTTCAAACTTGTACTGGCATGACTTAAAAAACCCTCTGTCACAGTTCCGTTCGAGAGAATGTCAAAAATCTTAGGTGACGGCTTACATATTGACAATGTCAGGCAAACGAAACTGACGTGGATATAGAAAACTCAACAAAAAAACTTGAACTATGCCTACTATAACACCAATATTCGAATTTTTTTTTGAGTCATCAATACCCAAAACTTATATTTTAAAAAATAAACTATTGATTAATAATGTTGTTCTACATTTTTATTTTATTTTAGTAAGCACTAATGATTAGCCAAAAAAGTTTAATTGACAAAAGGCTGATGATATTCGCATATTAAGTTCCAACTTTAACTTTTCTTCCTGGACAAAAGCCACCAAAACCCTAAATTATGCCTACTGTAACACATTTATTCTATTTCGTGACACCAAAAATCCCAAATTTGTACCTATGTGACACGTGAACCCTCCATCAAAATTCTGTTAATGAGAACTATTAAAAATCTGCCTATATAAACGCCATAAAGTAAACAATATTGAGATGGTGCCCATACGGTTTAAGTGAAATAAAAACGACATTATTTTAGTTGAAAAATTATCTAACGGAATCTTGACAAACGATAAATGTATCACATAAGTATAAATTTAGGGTTTTTTATGTTACAAGAAAAAATTTAGGATAAATGTGTTACAACGGGCATAGTTTGAGGTTTCAGGTTAAATATATCACAGTGGCATAGTGTGTGATTTTTTGTGACTTTTTCCCTTTCTTCTTTTCGATTTGCGTTTGTTTTATGTTGGTTAGCTGGGTTTTGTAATTATGTTATTTGATTAACCACTAATTTGTTAGTCAAAACTAGTTGAGGTTAATTTTTTAAACAAAAAAACATGATCGACAATAGCGCATGAAGTCTCATTTTTTATTCCCACTGAGAAAGTTTTTGAGTAATTTTTATAATTCTTTTATAATTATCATAAATTTCATTCTAACTAAGGCTCCATACATTTCATGGAAAAATTAATTTCAAAAAAATGTTTTGCGAATTTTCCGGCGTTTGGTCCACGAAAAATAAACTAGTCAAGGAAAACATTTTTCACAAATGTAAAAACACCTTCAAAAAGCGGAAAACATTTTCCGTATCTTCTTTACCAAACACATTTTATTTTTATTTTTTCTTTTCTTTTTTCTTTTTAAAAAATTGAGTTTTTAATTATTTTTTCTTTTTTCTTTTTCTTCTTGTCTTTTTTTTCCTTTTTGCTTCTTCCTTGACTGGTCACCGGCTACAGCGACAGTCAGCAACCTACCAAGGCAAGGCTCGACCTCGCTCGCCCAAGGATGGCAAGCACCTCGTCGGCCTCGAGCGAGGCCTCACCAAATCCAATAGCATCACCTGTGGCCGGCAACCGGCGGAGGAAGAAAGAAAAGAAAAAGAAAAAGAAAAGAAATATAAAAAATAATTCAAAATTCAAGAATAATAAAAAATTCGATTTTTTAAAAAATAAAAATAAAAAAAAATTAAAAGGAGCGCAATGAGAAAAATCAATCAGATTTTCCCTATTGAACAACAAAAAAATATTTTCCAGTTCATTTTGAGGTCTCAGCCAAACACCGGAAAATATTGTCATTTTTCCGAAAAATGACTTTTCGGATAACATTTTCCAAAAACGTCCTAATTTTTCGCGAAACAAAAGGAGCCTTAATCTTGGTCTTTCAACTATCTATAGTTACCCGATAAAAGAAAAAAAACTATCTATAGTTAAAAATCAAACCATCACAACGGTACATACTTGAATCAGAAGTGTTTTGAAGTAAATATTAATTAATTTTTAGTGTTAATTTTTTTTTTCTATTTGTGGATGAGTATTTAAAAGTGATCAGATGTATTTTTAATATTTAACTTTCATTCATACATTTAAAATAATGGAAAAATACACATGAATCTATTCTCGCAAAAAGAACCACTTAATGGCCTTGTAATTATTTAATCCGAAGCTTATTTTTATTGAGGATGCACTTACCAATAGCGCAATGGGATCGCAAGCCTTTGACGGCCCGTATCGGGGGTCGCTTGAGTAGGCTTGGCAACCTCTTCTGTGCACAAAAGTATTGGGGACGTTGGGTTTGCTACGTAGGCTATAAGTCACTCCATTCAGCAGCGCGGTCCCATGAGTCCCACCAATCAGACATTTTTTAAACTTCCTCTCTTTTCTCTCCGTTGCTTCTCTTTCCCCCTTCGTTATTGAACACATTACCAGCACTCTCTGCTCTTCTTTCCTCGCTTTTCACTTCCTCTTTTTATTTCCATTTCTCAGGAATTCTGAAGAACAAAGTGCCTCTCCCTTCATTTAGTCGACATATGTTAGAAGACATTATTGATTCTCGCTTCTTTGACTTAATCTTATACCTCATGAAAAAGTATCACGATCAAAAGCAAAACTCCGTTTATGTATGAGGTCGTATAACATCTGAAGCCAATTATTCTTAGTGCCCCGGTTATCTTCCATTTTACTCCAAGTAGATTCAAATTCATTCTCTGATTACATCAATAGATAAGCTCTTAGAAATATTTATTCTTAAACCCAGGCTTGTTTGAGAAATATTTATCTTTAAACCACAACAGAGGCGGAGGCAGCATGGTTGGGAGCTAAGAGTATTATAAGTTAATACTCAGACCTAACAATATCCATATGTTCGATGTAGAAACTCGTTCCGTCAATTTGTACATAACAAATGCATTCACAACCAAGTAACAAAACAATGAAAGCTAAATAAAACTGAGTTATGAATATTATACCTCACCAGAAGAAGCCATGACGGTACTTAGACAAGAAATTGATCCTTTATGACCGCCTGTGTATCTCCTTACAAGCAACAAATAGTTATTATCCTCAAAATGCATGTTCAACACTAACATTCAGACCATAAAACTGACGAAGGCCAAACCTTCCATGTTATCATTGCAAGTACTCTAATGACGCCATTTGATCTGCCAATAGCAACAAGTGGACCATCTCCAACTGCAGATCTGGCCAGGTACTCTATACTCTGCAAAACAAACGACGATTGACATCAACATGAAGATATTATTAAAGACTTATGTGAGGAAATTTGACAAAATAAGTTGTCGCGACTAACAGCTCATGCCCGGAAGGCCCCTAGTTTTTGGCCAAACTCAATCATGAATAGGGTTATTTGAGTTAAATTGTCTTTGATAATGAAAAACAGTGGGAGAAGAACAGCAGAAGTGCCAAAAATTATGTACGGCGCTCACTTTAGTGCCAAAAATTT